AAATAATTATGGAACAAATGTGAGATGAGATGTTATTGAAGGGAGATTATGGCAAGAATAATAAATTTTGTGTAAAAATGAAGGGGGTTATTTATATATATATATATATATTTTTTTTTTCTGAAAACCGCCGGTTCAGAGCCTAATCGGTGATTCATACGGTTCTATCCTGACTGACTGTTGACTTTCAGGACGGGTCGTTTTGGTGGTTCGAGCCGAGCCATGCCTTAATATGAACAAGTATGACATCATCTTAATTGCGCAATAAAATCTTAATTTGACAATATAGGTTTAGGGGTGGCTGTCCTAATTTTCAACTGGTTGAACTCAAAAGTCTGGGCCTTCACCATCAGCGGTAGTTAGGCAGCCTTACCATGGTCATTTGCATCATTCATAGTTGCAATTAGCCATAAGCAATAATCAATTATCCATGTTGCTAGATAACAAAAAAGGTCAACTTTGATTATCACATGAACAACTCTTTTGTAACTTCGGGGTATTCTGATTTGAGTTCAATATATTTCATTATCGTTTGAAATAAATATTGTAATAAAATATTTATGTACTCGTTGTGAAAAATAAATATAGATAAAAAAAATATTTTTGAAAACAAAAATTATAATAGTTTGATTTGATCCAACTTATCAACTTCAATTATCTTGAGCATTACTACTCACAATAATTTTTTTAATAACTCTCATTTTGCTCGAGCTTAATAGTTAGACTATAAATAACAACATAAACAAAAGTATGATATCTCATAATGCAAAAGGTTTGTTGTTAAGTCGACCCAACCGACATACTTTTCTCACATATATTTGTACTTCTATTAGATAACATATATCACACTTAAAAAACAACATAACATAAGTTTGAGATTTGATTATTAAATAAATTCACACTTAAAAAAATAATTTCAGATGTAAGCGGGGCATTCTAATGTCAAGTACACCTCATACATGTAGCTACCCTTTTAAATGTGTCAATGTGTCATTTTACTAAATTAAATAATACAAAAATATATTTTATTTAATTACTAAAATGTTCTTAATTAAAATCTTTAAGGAATAAAGATTATAAACTATATCTTATATTATTTAAAAGATGTTAAATTATTGATATAGTAACGTAGAAAATTTTAAGAAATAAAATAAAAATAAAAATGTAGAAGATGGCATTTCAAATAGAATGTTCATATGACTCAAAAAATCAAATTAATTAAGATGCATTGTTACCCATGAAAAGAGGAACAAAATGAGTGTTCGCCCATTAAATTTGGCTAACTGAGTCCTCAAAAATCATCAGTGAATTATTCATCTCTTCGTCGCGTACTGTTGAAAATTTGGTAGCCTCGGCATAGTTTTCCGAGTATTGATAGGTCGGATCGAGAATCGACATATACTGTTGGATTCCTTATGGCAAAATTGTTCCACACGTGCGCGCGCGCACACATACACATATATATGAATCCAACAATTGGATACCAGTTACATTCCAACAAAATTCAATGCGCAATCCTTCAAATTTTTTTTTTTCAAAATTTTATCAATGATTTAACAAAGGTTAAGGTATCATAAGATGAAATTAAACATGTCATTGGAAAGATCGAATTGAGAACTTCGACATGATATATACTTGTTTTGTTGGAATACATCACCGGTAGGCGGGCGATGAATAGAACAACGGCTAACGGTAGTGGCCGGCGGCGGCGAGTGGCGGAGAAAAGGTCGATCTTCAATTCTAACATGTTTTAAATTTAATAGCTCATATTTTATTAATTATTTTATTTTTATTTTTGTATACATGTTCATAAAATTAAATATAATTTTTATTATGAATTAAATTAAATTATAATTAAACTTAAAGTAGCGGTATAATAGGTGTTTCGCATGTACGAGGTGTACGAGACAATGTACGAGTCAGTCAACATAGTTTTTTGTCTGGTACATTAAATGTATGATTGAGATTGAAGTTTTGATCAATCTAACCGTTAAATGAAATGATACCTATTGACATGTATATATGAGAGGTATCTGACACTAGAAGGTCTCATATAAGTATGAATGACATTAGATTGTATATGTATTTTTGTTGACATAGTGCGATGAATCCACTCGCCTAATCATTCTAAAGTATGACGTTAGAATGTGTTGGTAAGCACCCCAAACTATTTTACAATTTATTTGATTAACTTGCAAGCTTTCTATGCAAATAAACTTGACTTCTTAGAATGATTTTTTTTTAAAAAAAAAAAAATTGAAACTTATCTCATAAATTTCATTAGATATTCTTTTTAATAAGTTATTTTTACTTCTATTTAGTTTATAAAATTATCTTTTTAATAAGTTATTTTTACTTATATCTAGTTTATACTAATTTTAGCGAACACTTTATAATATCGATTAGCGTGTGCTAGCTTGTCAAATAGTTTATCAAACATGACCCGATTTTTATGAATGTATGAACCGTTGAGGTTATCTTTCCACTTAAACCCAGCTATTACTGAATCATCTTCAACCATCATCATCAACAAAAGAGTAGAGAGAGAAAGAGAAACCTATTTAATAACCATTAGTCAACTCTCGAGCAGCAGCAATTTATTCCATGAATTCGATTTAATCCCCACGAGCACCACCGCCACCACATAATCAATAAATACCAAAATCCCACCAAACTCCGATGTGTATCTGATTCGCCGGCTGCCCACAACTTCTCCAACCATGGGCTGGGGGAATGTGTTCTTCACGGCGATCCTCACTTTCTCGGCGGCGCTCATCACCTACAACATCATCATCTCCGCCAACGCCTCTCTCCAGCAGGGCTTTCCCGGCCATTCCTCCTCATCATCCCAGAAATCGGGCTCGTCCTCCTCGGTGGACCCCATTATCCGGCTGCCCAGATCCTCCGGCGGGAAGAGGAGGCGCTTCCACACCGCCGTCACAGCCTCCGACTCGATCTACAACACGTGGCAGTGCCGGGTGATGTACTACTGGTTCAAGAAGCAGAAAGCCATGAATCCAGATTCCGAGATGGGGGGATTTACTAGGGTTTTGCACTCCGGGCAGCCGGACCGGTTCATGGACGAGATCCCCACCTTCGTTGCCCAGCCCCTGCCCGATGGGATGGATCAGGTCCTCCTTTTTAATTTATCTAGAAAAAAGAAAAAAAAAAAATCTGCTCTCTTTATTTTTTATGTTTTGATTATCGATTACAGTCTGTATTAGCTCCATGTTCAATTTCTTATCGAACATCTCTGTTCTTATTCCAGGGGTACATAGTCCTGAACAGACCTTGGGCCTTTGTGCAGTGGCTTCAGCAAGCAGAGATTGAGGAAGAGTAAGAAAAAAAGAGGAAAAAAAATGAGTTTCTCCTTGCATTTTAATATATATAGAAGAAATTACTTATATTGTGTTTATAATTCTCTATGTAGCTACATATTCATGTCTGAGCCAGACCACATTCTGGTCAAGCCCATACCGAACTTAGCGAGAGATGACATGGGAGCTGCATTCCATTTCTTCTACATCGAGCCAAAGAAATACGAGAATGTGCTGCGGAAATTCTTCCCTGAGGAAAATGGACCAATAACTAACATTGATCCCATTGGGAATTCCCCTGTAATAGTACGAAAGGTATATCAATTGCTGATTGTGAAGCTGCCTGATGTTATCGTTTTTCTATTTCTTGCATTCTTGCACGTGTCCTTTGCCGGTTAACATTTTTTTGACCAAATAATATTAGGATTCTCTGAAAAAGATAGCTCCCACTTGGATGAACGTGTCCTTGGCTATGAAGAAGGATCCCGAGGCAGATAAAGCTTTCGGATGGGTTCTTGAGATGTGAGCTACCTCTGAGATTCATGGTTGCATCATGCTCTTGGTGTTTTTAGTCTCCAACTTAGATTTTTCTTGTTGCTATTGTAGGTATGGATATGCAGTTGCATCAGCATTACATGGTGTGAGTAACATCTTGTACAAGGACTTCATGATTCAGGTAAGGGTAAATTTTCTGTTAGTGTTGTTGAATATCTCATGATGCCAATCGCTTCTAGTTAGATAAGTTAAAACGTATTTGTAGTACATGTGGTTATTTCCGATTGATGTTTATGTAATTATGTCATCTCTAAATCTCCATGCTTCACTTATATTGGGCTTGAGAGCTGCTAGTCTTATCATGGAGGGCCTAATAGTTGTTATCTTGTCAAATTCTTACAGCCTCCTTGGGACACCACAACCAGCAAGACCTACATAATTCATTATACTTATGGATGCGACTATGATTTGCAGGTATATTTGTATGAATTTTTTAATGTTCTTTGGTACTTTGTTATTCTATGATTATTAATGTAATTTTTTAGTCTATTTTTCTTTTGGGTCCTTTGGGAATTAGGAGTAGGAAAATGAGCACTTTTTGACTTGTTTGGACTGGAATTTTATGTATGTCGTGCCTTTCAGGGTAAGATGACTTATGGAAAGATTGGAGAGTGGAGATTTGACAAAAGATCATATGACGATATCTGGCCTCCAAAAAACCTTTCTTTGCCGCCTCCTGGTGTTCCAGAAAGTGTGGTATGTTTTTATATCCTTAAATCCTAACTAGGGTGCCTTTATATTCTTAGCTTTTTACATAGTGGGACTACTGTTTTGGGGTTATCAGTAATGAAACTGTAAATTTGAGTAAAACACAAATACTTTGTTAACTTCTACAGTGAAGAATTTTTCTGAGGTTCAATACAACCCATAGCTTTGTAACGGCCTACATTTTTTGGAGATAAAATGAACACATGAATTGGGAATATGCAATTGCTTGCATCTAAGTAGTTTAATGATTGCTTTGTTCCACTGTGATTTTGTACAACTCTGTTGAAAATAAGAGATTGTGGTTTTTGAGTCTCATAAATTTTACACAGAGATTTTTGGACATGACAGGTTACATTGGTGAAGATGGTGAATGAGGCCACTGCCAATATTCCAAACTGGGGTTCTTAGGCTTGTAGTCTCAGTGTTCCCTGCACACAATTGTCACAGTTATAACTCGCTTTTGTAGATTTTACCAAAAAGGATAGGAACTCATTCCTCGCGAGAACCGAATGCGTGCTGCCATTGGTTTTTCAGCTCAAATACTTCACTTGTTTAAGTTGTATTTAGAACTCTATTGGATTTCTTATTTACTAAACATATCAATGGCGGTGGTGATTTGGGACATGTATATCATGAAGAGAAATAACATCATCCTCTACACTACAGAACTATCTTTTCCAGAGCTAAAGTTAATGTGTTGCTCCAGTAAAATGGAGATTATAGTTTATTTTCATTAATTTGTTTCATTTTTATTCATTTTTGTACTATTACAATTGTTTGTTTGTTTCTTGTTCGTCTTATTTATATGACCAGTGGTTATCATCCATGAAATCATGCCTTACTAATCCTTACTGTTGAAAGGAATCTATTTATGTTGAGACTGCCACTCTCCAAGGCACATTTTGCACATTCGAGCTGTTGGATTTCCCTCGTTTGAATCCTTTTACATGTGACTTGCAACTTTGTTTTCTCCAATTTTCATCGTAGTCCAAAAGAAACATTGCAGCACGATAAGTCCAGCAGCATTAACTTACATGTATATCGCTCTTCTTCATAAGTACGCCTCTAGCTTCGGCTTATGAGCCCACGCCCAGTATTATGACAAATTCCGATGTTTTATCCGTTGATAGAATATTATTAAAACGATTTTAATAACAAAATCAATTTAACGGTGTTGGACAAATTCCGATGTTTTATCCGTTGATAGAATATTATTAAAACGATTTTAATAACAAAATTAATTTAACGGTGTTGAACTCGTTCAGGAGCAAACAAATACATTCCAATTTATAA